TTGCCTTTCATAGTTGTTTTTTTTTTATTTCAGGAAAGAAAACTTCAACATTAACAGATTTCCTCAATAAATAAAAAAAAATCTGGTGTACTTAAAAGCCATTTTTCAGCAAAGAAAGGGTACTGATGTAAAATCTGAGCCCGTTCCACACACATGCAACATTGTGCAGTACTAAACTTACCTAGTGTATACTTGTATTCAGAGTCACCTGGAAACATTACAGAGGATCATTTAACACTTTTGACAAGGACAGGTGTGCAACAAATTATTATGTATAAGCTGCTTCGGGGTGCTACCATATGGCACACATAAAGGAATTCAAGGAAAGAGGGAAAACTACATCACATTTAGCTTGGCTGAAAGCTTGCACGCACGGATACTTACTCCAAAAAAGCTGGCACAGAGTAAGGTGCTATGCCCTCTAAAAGGTATTATTTTTTTCCTATTGCAATACAGATGCCTTAAGGAACCTCCAATGCTACTCAGGATTTCTGTCAGTCAGTTGAAGGATTATATAAAAGACACTAGCAGATAGAATCTGCACAGAATACACAGACTGGTGCAGGACTAACAAATAGGAGTAGGTCAACCCTCTCCAGAGATCTACATCACACAAGACACTGAATTAATGGAAAAAACATGCCTGTGTATATGGCCAGTGCAACACACTCTCCTTATATGTGAAACAAAGGTCGTTTCATACTTACAAGATGAGGAGCTCTACTTGGAAATGAAGTAAATGAAAAGAAAACTCAAAAAACACCGTGAATACTCAAGTGCTTATAGAAACCCAGCAAGGTGGAACTGGCTTCCTGAGCAGAAATATGTCTAAAACGGCAAAAAATCACAGGAAAGAGAACAGCACATCAATAAGTAGCTTTAGTGAGATTCTTTATTATGTATTTACCAAGTTCTACTTCCTGTCCTAAAAGAGAAAAGTTAATGAACACTGATGATGCCTGAAAGGCCTGTCTTAAAAAGAAAATAATGGCTTTGTTCTCTAAATTGTTCTTATGAGCCTAAGACCCAGAACAGAGAATTTGTAAGAATCCTGTGATTAGTAACACATATGAAGACAAGAACGGCATGAAAGTAAATATTATTAACTAATCAAATGGAGTGCTGTATTCCAAATTAATTACTTGAGGACTATTTGTCATAGTGGAGAGTTTAGTAGGAGTATCTGACCAACACAGGAATGATGAACAGGAAGAAAATATTATATTGGATTAAATGACAGAAAATAACACTAAAGTATTCTAACGTGATTAAATAAATAACTGTGGATTTTCACCTACAAAAGTCTTCAGTTCAGATCAATTTCTCTCTGCGGAAGAAAGACAAAGGGCTCAAAAAACAGAAAGAGCTCAGAGAGGGACAAGAAAAATACTAAGTCTTGATAAGACTGGATGCTTCATGGTGCTTCAGACTTCCAAGAGGTAAAGACGGAAAGGCAGCAACAAGCCACACTGAACAAAATGTATGTAGAACAGTTTAGCTAGGTTGTCTTCTCAACCCTTGCCAAAATACTAGGGCTATACCACAGTGACCAAAGCTGAGATTTTTGTCAAACCAACTATATTACAGGACAAGAAATTCAGTCCACAAAAGTGAGGGGTTTTAATAGCACATACATAGCTCATGAATTTACGGCCTATTTTTGGCCCAAACTTTGTACAGTTAAATATAGTTAGGCTTTCACATAAAACTATATCACTCAGTAATCACTTAATAATAATAAAAATTTCAAGAATGAAAATCACTTATCCAGGTTTTCTATGTTGGAAACTATTCTCAAAAGGTCAGGTGGAGTTTTAATGACCACTCCCTGTAATGCTTCCCCAATGGAGCCCTCCAAACAATCTGACCAGTTGCCTATTGAAGATGAAGTACTGGCTTGAAACAATCTACAAACCCGTAAGTAGCTGTTAAATACTGCTATCCCAAACAAAAAGTGGCTTGCAACCAGTCCCAGCTCTAAAATCAGGAAAGCTCAGATTATAGTGGACATTCATGTTGTTCTATTCTTATCCTGATTTTCTCTAGTACCCTAAAATTAGCAATGCAAAGAGCCAAGCAGAACAAGCCCATAAACTACTTCAGTGTCCAACCCAAAATGAACAGGGAATGAACATGAGGGTGTCAGGCTCTAGACACAGGCCTCACTTACCATGACATGTACAGTAACATTGCCAGCTTTAGCACTGCCCAACTGTCCAAGTCTGTAGACCAAAAGGCTAAAACGAAACACTCAGTATTCAGTAACACCTTAATATCTCTTTCCACCAGACACATCCAGACTTTTTTTCCAATCCCAGTTTAGTTTTGTCAGGGTAGGAAGAAACGACGTTTGTTCCTATCCAGTCACAGCAGCCAAACTCCTCAAGAAACATATCAGAGTAACAATCTTCTGCACACTGTGGCCCCTGCCACCTCATCTTCCCAGCACTGAGTGGGGAAATGCGCCCAAGGAGAGCCCAGGGGAGGCCAACCCAGCTCCATCACGCTGACACCACGAGCAAGCCCTCCACACCCTTGCCGGGGAGCAGGCACCGAGACCCTTCAGCCACAGGGACCAGCCAGATGCGGTGGTGGATCCCACCACCCTCACAGCACCATCATCCAGCTGCTGGGCAGTGTGGTGGGACCACCCACCTCCTCCACTGTCCCAGGGCCACCATCTATCCCAGGGACACAGCTGGGCAGTGTGGTGGGACCACCCACCTCCTCCCATCCCTCTGCCACCATCTATCCCAGGGACACAGCTGGGCAGTGTGGTGGGACCACCCACCTCCTCCCATCCCTCTGCCACCATCTATCCCAGGGACACAGCTGGGCAGTGTGGTGGGACCACCCACCTCCTCCCATCCCTCTGCCACCATCTATCCCAGGGACACAGCTGGGCAGTGTGGTGGGACCACCCACCTCCTCCCATCCCTCTGCCACCATCTATCCCAGGGACACAGCTGGGCAGTGTGGTGGGACCACCCACCTCCTCCCATCCCTCTGCCACCATCTATCCCAGGGACACAGCTGGGCAGTGTGGTGGGACCACTCACCTCCGCCCCTGTCCCAGGGCCACCATCTATCCCAGGGACACAGCTGGGCAGTGTGGTGGGACCACCCACCTCCTCCCATCCCTCTGCCACCATCTATCCCAGGGACACAGCTGGGCAGTGTGGTGGGATCACCCACCTCCTCCCATCCCTCTGCCACCATCTATCCCAGGGACACAGCTGGGCAGTGAGGTGGGCCCACCCACCTCCTCCCATCCCTCTGCCACCATCTATCCCAGGGACACAGCTGGGCAGTGAGGTGGGATCACCCACCTCCTCCCATCCCTCTGCCACCATCTATCCCAGGGACACAGCTGGGCAGTGAGGTGGGATCACCCACCTCCTCCCATCCCTCTGCCACCATCTATCCCAGGGACACAGCTGGGCAGTGAGGTGGGATCACCCACCTCCTCCCATCCCTCTGCCACCATCTATCCCAGGGACACAGCTGGGCAGTGAGGTGGGATCACCCACCTCCTCCCATCCCTCTGCCACCATCTATCCCAGGGACACAGCTGGGCAGTGAGGTGGGATCACCCACCTCCTCCCATCCCTCTGCCACCATCTATCCCAGGGACACAGCTGGGCAGTGAGGTGGGATCACCCACCTCCTCCCATCCCTCTGCCACCATCTATCCCAGGGACACAGCTGGGCAGTGAGGTGGGATCACCCACCTCCTCCCATCCCTCTGCCACCATCTATCCCAGGGACACAGCTGGGCAGTGAGGTGGGATCACCCACCTCCTCCCATCCCTCTGCCACCATCTATCCCAGGGACACAGCTGGGCAGTGAGGTGGGATCACCCACCTCCTCCCATCCCTCTGCCACCATCTATCCCAGGGACACAGCTGGGCAGTGAGGTGGGATCACCCACCTCCTCCCATCCCTCTGCCACCATCTATCCCAGGGACACAGCTGGGCAGTGAGGTGGGATCACCCACCTCCTCCCATCCCTCTGCCACCATCTATCCCAGGGACACAGCTGGGCAGTGAGGTGGGATCACCCACCTCCTCCCATCCCTCTGCCACCATCTATCCCAGGGACACAGCTGGGCAGTGAGGTGGGATCACCCACCTCCTCCCATCCCTCTGCCACCATCTATCCCAGGGACACAGCTGGGCAGTGAGGTGGGATCACCCACCTCCTCCCATCCCTCTGCCACCATCTATCCCAGGGACACAGCTGGGCAGTGAGGTGGGATCACCCACCTCCTCCCATCCCTCTGCCACCATCTATCCCAGGGACACAGCTGGGCAGTGAGGTGGGATCACCCACCTCCTCCCATCCCTCTGCCACCATCTATCCCAGGGACACAGCTGGGCAGTGAGGTGGGATCACCCACCTCCTCCCATCCCTCTGCCACCATCTATCCCAGGGACACAGCTGGGCAGTGAGGTGGGATCACCCACCTCCTCCCATCCCTCTGCCACCATCTATCCCAGGGACACAGCTGGGCAGTGAGGTGGGATCACCCACCTCCTCCCATCCCTCTGCCACCATCTATCCCAGGGACACAGCTGGGCAGTGAGGTGGGATCACCCACCTCCTCCCATCCCTCTGCCACCATCTATCCCAGGGACACAGCTGGGCAGTGAGGTGGGATCACCCACCTCCTCCCATCCCTCTGCCACCATCTATCCCAGGGACACAGCTGGGCAGTGAGGTGGGATCACCCACCTCCTCCCATCCCTCTGCCACCATCTATCCCAGGGACACAGCTGGGCAGTGAGCGGGTAGTCTCCCCGGCAGATGAAGTGATCCGCAAGCGGCTGCTGATTGATGGCGACGGGGCCGGCGACGACAGGCGGATCAATTTGTTGGTGAAGAGTTTCATCAAGTGGTGCAACTCCGGGTCTCAAGAGGAAGGGTATTTTGCTTTCTGTTCGCTTCTGGGTTTGGTTTGTTTTTTGTTTTCTCAGTCTTGTAACTTGCGCGACGGGGCCGGCGACGACAGGCGGATCAATTTGTTGGTGAAGAGTTTCATCAAGTGGTGCAACTCCGGGTCTCAAGAGGAAGGGTATTTTGCTTTCTGTTCGCTTCTGGGTTTGGTTTGTTTTTTGTTTTCTCAGTCTTGTAACTTGCTCACATCAGTAGAAAACCGGGGCTCCAGCCTTTTTGCAAAGATCTGTGTTAAAATGTAAAAAAAAAAGCTGCTTTTTCAGTGGTGTTATCAGCGTTCCCACCTCCTGTGGTGGGAGGTGAGGACCAGAGATGGGTCAGACAGGACTGATCTGCTCCAGAGCCCTCAGGATTGTCACCCCTGGTCCATCCAGGCGTCCCAGGAGCACGGCTGGAACGTTTTAGCTGGCAGTTCTGCGTTGGTTCTGTCAGGGAAAGGGTAGCACTGCTGCTGGTGTTTTGGCTGCTGCGTTTCTGTTATTAAAAAAGGAAATAAATCATCAAAAAAACCCCACCTCCGGGGTGAAGTAGTAAGGGGTGGTGTTCTGCTGTGGGGTGCACGCTAAGTGCTGGGTAGAAATTCCTGGAGGACACAGTAACAGGTGTGTGTGTGTGTGTAAGGAGCAGTATTGAAACACTGAGCTGGGTGGTCAGAGCCAGCCCAAGCTGGGAAGCTTGTAAATCCTGGACCAGTCTGCCCCTGGCCTTAATACTCCCTGTACACCTATAAGGGTGGTGGGAATCAGTGTGTGTAACTTTTCTAATGGCACTGTCAGAAATCACACATTCACTCTTTGAAACGTCTTATTTCTGTAATAATTGGTGATTAACTGCTCCTTCTGCTACAGGGGGCTTTGTTTTCTTGTTTTCTAGAGGCTTTTTTATGCTGCTTAAGAATCAACATCTTGTCTGTTTTCAGTTACAGCCAGTACCAACGAATGCTGAGCACTTTATCGCAGTGTGAATTTTCAATGGGAAAAACTCTCCTGGTGTATGATATGAACCTGAGAGAAATGGAAAATTATGAAAAAATCTACAAGGATATAGGTAAGGCTGAGAAAATATTACTGTTTTCCATTTGACAGTTTCTCCTTAATGACCAAGCTTGAGCCAGTTCTGGTGAACTATAGTATAGATATCTGATGAGTGGTTTGATTTCTTTTTTTTTTCCTTTTTCTTCCTACATAGCACTCAGACATAAGCTGGAAGCATCTTATCAATGATATAAAATACATACAAATGAAAGCTTTTTTTAACCTATTGATGTGTGTGTAGTTTTGAAGTTCCCATGTCACAAATGATTCTCTTTTTATAGTATGGCAAAAAGGTTTCTTAACATGTATTGTTTGATTTCAATATAATTCCATACTTTTTTTATTTCTTAAAGAAAACAGTATAGCTGCAGCACATGAGAAGATTTCTGAATGCAAAAAACAAATCCTGCAAGCAAAAAGGATTAGAAAAAATCGCCAGGGTAAGGAGCAAATCTCTGTTTATACTGGTCAGTTTCATTACTTTGTCGCCTTGTAAAACACATTGTATCAAAGATACAAACTTGTGGAAGTGCAAGGGAACATGGGGGCATCATGAATGCTGTTATTTTGCCTGGCGGGTTCCACACCCACTACTGAAGGTTTGTGGTGGATGAGGCAGGCAGGATTGAACCAGTAGATCTCAATGAAATGCTTTCAGGCCAAAGAAAAACCCCAAAAGCATCCTGTCAGAATTCAGGTGACTTGGGAAGAGCTAAAGCACATTATTAATAGTGAGACAAAAGTTGAATAGATATAGACCCAGCACTGAAGATTATGAGAGTGTATTCCTTCATCTCTTAAGGAAAGGTAATGTCTTGGCATACACAATGGTGCCAGTTAGACACTCAGGATACATCCTTACTGAATGCCTATTACAAGAGGTGTATTTTTTTCCCTACTCTCAAAAGTGTGTGCTGATAACTTCAATTGAAACTTAAAGCATTACCCTGTGATGCTGTCTTACCAAAAGGTTAGCAGCTGAGAAGCAAACATTTGTTTTTTCTTGATAAATGCAAAAAAGAAAAAGTTTATAACAGATAAAAGGTTTTAAATACAACTGTTTGATCAATTTTGTGGAGAATTTTAGACTTAACTGGGAATTAAAGAGAACCTTAACCAGCAGGAGTGTAAAGTTCTTAGATCTTCTCAAACATAGGTGTGAAGTGTTTGCTTTTTGGTATGTTCTGTCCAGCCTGCAGCACAGATTTTTCCATGTGAATGAGGCAGTTGATGTATGTACAGTCTTAATGTCAGGAAATGGCTATGTTAGTTGTCTGTATAACCATAATATTGTGCTTAGTGTAATATAGTTTTAAAAAAAGTCCTGTTTCTCATGCAGCATTTTATACTCTTTTTGAAAAATCTCAAGTTTGTAGAGGTAACATCAGCCTCATTTTCTGTACATCTACATTAGATTGTATCTAAAACCAGTGCTTATGAATCTTACATGAGGAAAGTCTGGGAGAGCTGGGACTCTTTAGCCTGGAGAAGAGAAGGCTGAGGGGGAGACCTTATTAATGCCTGCAAGGGTGGGTGAAAGGAGGATGGAGCCAAACTGTTTAGTAGTTCCCAGTGACAGGATGAGAGGCAACAGGCACAGGCTGGAACACAGAAGTTCCATTTAAATATGAAGAAAAAACTTCTTTGCTATGAGTGTGACAGACCACTGGGACAAGCTGCCCAGGGAGGTTGTGGAGTCCCCTTCTCTGGAGGTATTCAAGACCCACCTGGATGCAGCCCTGAGTAATGTGCTTTAGGGGATCCTGCTTTAGTGGGGGAGTTGAATTAGAGGATCGCTAGAGGTCCCTTCCAACTCTGACAGTTCTGTGATTCTGTGATACACACAAGACCAAGTGTGCAGCAATGCAGAGCTATCTAAAGGTCTTATTTTCTGACCTCATCCTTTACAAATCACTAGCGCTGGATAAGTTTGAGTGAGTAGATAATGGTCTACTGCCACATCTTAAGTTTATTTTAAATGTCTCTTGGTATAATCATCTACTTTGAAATGTTATAGCATGGTATAAATTATATACAATTTTACATATGGATATTTGCAGGTACTTTTTTATGCATGTAAGGTGTTATGTAAAAATTTAAAAATGTTAAAACAGTTTTTCAAGAAGAAAGAATCTGTACCATTCTGTAGTATAGTATCTGATTTTTGCTTCTAGAATCTATACTTTAAGAATTATTTAGACAAACCATTTAAATTTCTTTCAGAATATGATGCATTAGCCAAAGTCATACAACAGCATCCAGACAGACATGAAACACTGAAGTAAGTATGAGACTGGATTCATTTATAGTTAGCCAGTAAGTTTGAGGTTACCAGATTGGACATTTCCTTGGTTTCCATTTGACCTTTCTTTTGACACAAGGAAAGCTTGGATTTCATTTTAAAAACATGCTCTTATCAGCCTTCTTTCATTAATCCCCATCTGTGAGGATTCAGAAGCATTGCTAATAATTTTGTAGTCAAAATTTTCCTGTGGTTAAGGTGAATAAGTGAACTCAGATGCAAATGCACACCTAAGTTCAGTTTACCAGGGGTGAGTTGCTCAGAAAAGACAGAGAGTAGGGAAGTGCTGCAAGTTGTGCCAGCAAGGGATTCAGCAGTCACACAAAATACGTAACACACAAGCAAGGAAGGTGGAATGAGAGGAAGCAGGAGAAAGCTCTTTGGGTTTTTAATTTGTTTTCCTTATAGTAGTTGCTTCTGCATGCCTGGTTAAAAAATTACTGTGTTGTGCGCTACAGTGTAACCTGCCCTGGCATGCAGGGTAGATCTACCTGTTGTCCAGCTCATCTTGCACATCACTTACAGTATTGCTTGTGTTACTGTTGGATCTGGATCATCATCTCTGCTTTGGGGCAGCTGCAGGGAGATAAGTGTTTTTAATTGCATCAAGCCACAGAAACATTCCAGGACTCATTGCACCAATGGCCTGATTAAAGATACAGATACGGGGTTACTATTCATTAAGAATTACTGAAAGTGATTTCCTTTCAGATAACTCAATTGAATAAGAAGGGAAACAACTAAATGATAATCCTTTTTTTCTTAGAGAATGCTGGGCTGTTTAGGTTTGGAGGGGTTGTTCTTATTTTATTTAACAAATCCAGGCATAAGTTTCTTAACCAAAGCTAGACATGGTGATAAGTTTCAGCTAATAAATTTGGCATTTTGTCTTTTCTTAAATTTAAAAATCTCTTTAGGAGAGTGTATTACAATTAGAAATACCAGTGTGTTCATCCACTGGAAGAATGGCTACAAGGTATGTATCCTTAGTATCTGTAATCAAAGATATAGACTTGAACTATAGCAGAGTATGATCCCACATTTTATAGGTGGGGAAATGGGACAGTAGAAGAACAGAACATTTTTAAGGGCAGCTTGGATTGTAGGTATTTTAGCTTTAACTGACCTCTCCAAGTGAATAGACTTTAAATATAGGAACTAGATGATGTCTTCATCCAGTGTTTTAGTTAGAAAGCTTCCTCTCTCTCCAGTTTGAGAGAGAGATTCAGAAATCCTACTATGACCAGGAAGGACCACCCTTAAATCAGAATGGAGGAAACCTCACTAACAATGTCAGGCTTTTCATGGAACTCTTAATCACTAAAAACACCTGAGAAAACTTCTTGTGAGAAGAAATGTCATGGTTTAATGAAAGAGTTATATTTATAACTTTTGCAGGTTGTATGGCACAATAGGGACAAAGTTCAGAAAAATACTTTTAAGGGACTGTTTCTTGGAACAACTAGTCATAGAGCACAAAAGAAGAGAGGGTGTTATTGGCTTAGTCAAAAGTAATGCACAGGAGCCAATTCAGGAAGTGACAGGAGCTGAATTACTAAATGTCAGTGCCCACAGTGTCATTAGATGCAGCATCAGAAGAGTTGTCAACAGGAACAAGAAATGACACTTGAGTCTTAGAAAAGGGGTAGAAAAATGAGAAGGCTAGGCAAAGGTTCTCTGGAGCAGAAAGTAAAAGAAGTAAAATTCCAGATGTGGTTTGGATGTGACTAAAAAAGAATGTTCTCACTGTCTGCTTATACCTGACAGCATGGTAAAAACAGCAACATTTGGCTAAACAGAAACACTTCAACAATTTCAAACCAAGTACTAGATAAATCTATATAAACTGAAATGCTGTTATCCTGTTAGGAAGGGATAGTGTCATACCCAGCCCTCTTTCAGGCATTCTCCTCAAGGTACCAAGCATGCTGGCTCAAAAAAAGAGAGCACCCTCAGGTGGCACTAAAACAAACCTTCTTCCCAGCCATCATGGGTCACTTAGGTTTGGAGGCTTTTCCTTTCCCAGACTGGTTGCAGCAGCTGTGCTTCAGAAAAAAAGCCCTTTTATTCCCTTGCTGACCCCTGTATGGCTCTGCCTTGTAATTAATCAGAGATGGTCAGCCTCAATCTACTTCACCTGTAAAGAAAGATTGTTCTAATTACATGGAGTATAGATTATAGGAGGCATTAGAGGAAACGCAGAAGAGTCAAACTGGAAGTTTGAGTGCAAGAGTTGATGCTCCATCCTCATTTGAAAGCTAGTGCACATTATGGTACCTGTTCTTCTTTGCCCTGTCTGAAAAAGAATTGTGGTGGTCCATGGTGGGTACAAGTGAGAAGAGAAAACAGTCAAATGCTTGCAGGATGATCCTGAAGAGGTGTTGAAAGGTGATGTATTTCAAAAGGATGTGATAAATAAAGGTTAAAGGAAACATGCAACACCTATGTCTCTTAATGTCAGAGGCAATCCATTAAAATAAAAACTGACATTTGAGAAGGAAATTAGTATTTATATGGATCATAATGTTACATTCTGTGTGCTGAGTCATAAGTTGTGTCATGCAGTTTAATAAAAAACATGGATTATTTAGTGTATTACAACAGTGAAATCTACGTTACACACTACTCTGTCTGGTCAGGCTATTGGCAGAGCTAAGGTACTTGACTGTGTTTGGTCAATTGTTGTGTTTGTATGTTGGGTATGTAGGTTTATAAAACACAGTCTCCTGCTGATCCTCTGTTTTTATTTACTTTCTCATGTCAACATAAAGAAATCTGTGAAGTTGTGGAGCCCGTGAAAATGCCATGGGTGTTTAATGTAGACCAGTTCTTTAACTTGCACTGTATGGCCAATAATATGTTTGTGGCAGGACTGACTTGTCACAGTTCAAATGCTCTGTGTACAACTGTGTTCCAGCTTGGAGGCCTTCTTTGCTGTAAAGTTCTGAAATTACAAATTTATCACATTATAGTTAAACACTTTAATGAAGTGGCCTTACTTCTTTGTAATTTGATTTGTTATACCACTATTGATATAATGGTTCTTTTTCCTTCCCTTAGTTCACATCTATTTTTCAAGGGTTTTACAGAACTTTTAAAAGATGCTATGGCCATTTCTTTGCAGGCAGCTAGAAGCTTTGGGAAAAGAACTGCAACATCTTTCTCACATTAAAGAAAATGTTGAAGATAAGGTAGGTTTTTCAAAGAGATGGCTATATAATTATTAGGAATGTAATTAACAGAGACTCTGCAATGGATTGTTTCACTGTGTGTCCTCTGTTTCCTAAAATATATATTTTATCATTCCAGTTGGAGCTGAGAAGAAAGCAGTTTCATGTTCTGCTGAGCACCATCCATGAACTTCAGCAAACCCTGGAAAGTAAGTGGTGTTCTTAAGTAATACATATATAGCTGGGTAGGGTTTCAGCAGATCAAAAGGAATCACAGCTTCCAGCAGTGGGCTGGCTATGTGCAATTAAGGTTGGTGACCTCTTGCATTGACAGCATTTTTTTTCTCCACAGTAGTCCACAGCCTGAGACTGCTCAGAGGTTTTTTTCTTCTACAAACTAGCCACATGTCATTTCCTGACCAGCTTCAGATGAATCTGTAGGCAGCAAGCTTCTTTAAAATGTGGGTTTGGGGAATAGCAACTTGAGATTGTTGTTGTTGGCTTTTTAAACAGAAAAAAAAATTACTTCTTACAGAAAAATATTCTTTTGTACATAATTTCTAAACTTATTTGTAGCATTCCTGAGGCTTTACTGGAAAGAAATGGGAATGCAGGAAAGGTAAAGGACTTACCTGCTCAGACAGTGAGTCTGCAACAGAGCAGGGACTAAAACTGTTGTACAGAAGAGCTAAACTCAGGGATTTAGTCATACTCATCTGTTGTCATACAATTACTGAATATTTTCAAATTAGTACTTTTCATGCTTTACTGTGGATAATGTTTTAAATATTCTTTGCTGGGGTTTTGCCATGTTTGTCCAAGATGGAATGAATTGTATAGCTTTTGAGCATGACCTGATTAACATACATAGATGGCTGTAAGAGCAGACTTTCATTCTCTAAGGCCATCTAGATCTTCTTAAGCGGAATGAACTGTTAATCCTTGGTGCACTTCAACAGAAGGTTATTGTTACTCTGTTACTAACCCTTGCTTAAGTATTGGTCTCTAAAATACGTTTTCACATGAATGTACAGATGACCTTTCAGCTTCTAGAATTTTGTGAAGTAACATTTTAGTGGAAGGCACCATTTCAGTTTGAAATAAACCATGGAGAGGCAAAGAGAAGTCATGTAATTTGACACAACCTAGTCCTGTTTGTTTGAATGGATACTATAAGAATTACCTCCTGTTTCCTGTAACAGCCTTAAAAACTTTGAAGGCTTGTTCTTTTGTTTTGTTTGAACATAGCATGTTGTTTAATGAAATACTCAACTACATATTTAAGGCAATCAATGTAAAATATTTACAGGGAACACAGCTCTGCAATATAGTCTGTAAATAACCAGGCATGTTTGACTAACAGCAATATTGATTTTTAGATGATGAAAAGCTTTCAGAAGCTGAAGAATCTCAGGAAACTCAGATGGAAACAGAGACTAAACAGTAGATGTGACATGAAGACTGACTGCACTATTGAAGAATGTCCAAGTGTCTTCATGCTGTGTTGAAACCAACAGTAAGAGAGATGGAGCTGAAAAGGAGTTTTTTACTGGTTCTGTGATTTTCTATAAAATAATACTTGGTTTACTTATGCTTCAGGGCCAAACAGATAGAGATCTGTGCAGACAGGCACTTGGCATGAATCCATTCACAAACTTTGTAATTTGTGACAAGAAATACATTTTGTTTTACCAAGCATGAAGCTTCTGCACGGTACTTGTGAACTAAGGTGTCTGCACAACATTGCCAATTAAAAAAGCATTTTCAAAAGGTTTCCTGGTTTTTAGTAGGCATTGACCTTAGTAGTAGGGGCTCCTTGACATTGGACTGAGGGCAACACATCCTTGTGTGATTTCCAGCTTCTATACCCTTGTCCAGACAGGACCTAAAACTGAACTAAGTAGGAGTTTTAATTTTTTTTTTAAATAACTGCTGTTTTATAACTTACCTGTGACTAGGTTAGAAATTCCTACTTTTGTATAAAACAAAGTTACTTCTATGTAATGAATGCTGGTGCAGGGCTGTAAAACAACAAACTAGCTTTATTTTTTTCCTGAAGGTGATGTAAAGAACTGCAATGATCTGAGTCTCACTGTACTGTGTTCTGTGTCACCACATCAGAAGTCATAGTTTGAAATGACACTTTTAAAACTGCCATTTAAAAGCTTTGTTCTTGGAGAACCAGGAATCTAATCCTGATTCTATTTGTATTCTTCTTCTGGATTTTATCTGTCAATTGACTTACAAAATACATCTTTGTTCCTGAAACCGATGGTGGGACCCTTCGTTTTTCATGACAAACTGAAGCTATAGAGCAGCAATTGTAATGTTAAAGAATCTCAGATACTTTTATTATTAAGAGGGAGGGTGGAATCTTTCCACCTGTATCACCCTGCAGTCTGAGAAGTCTCAGGAGGTAGGAAGGTTGAAACCTGCATTTCTTAACAAGAGAGAATTGAGCATGCTTTAAGCTTTTGTAAGGCAGGGAAGGAACAAGGAGCAGGAGTAGGTCCTGTCACCACCTGTTTGCCGTGTTCGAAAACACTGCAAGGTTTTGAGTAAAGCAACTTAAATCTCACTCAGACTGTGTCATAAGCATCTGTGGTTGAAGTAAAATAATCACATTACACAGAGCAGAGCCTCCTCCTCAAACTAGGTGATAGGTGAGGGGAATTCCCAGGATTGTGACTTTGGACTTGCATGGTCTAGATGCTGTATAATTCCCACTCCTTGGCTGTGGATCTTTGTGTACTGGGCTGAGTAGACATATCTGAGCTTGTTTTGCTCACATTCCATGTTTGCTAAAGGCAAGCCAGCTGAACAAGAAGTCACACAACTTCAGTAGCATAGAGCAGCCGTGGACTAATAAGCTGTCAAAAGTCATCTAGTTCAGCGCTGGCCAACTCAGAACTCAGGGGAAACTCAGGTTTGCCTCACAAAGCCTGTGTAGACATGCTTCTGCACTAGGGATTTTGCAGGCTCAGGTGGGGTAAACAAACAAAAGGGATTTAATATGAAAAATGCACTGTCAAGAAGTGTTTAGTGTTCTGTGTCTTTTCCCCTCCTAACAACAGTGAATAGTAAAATATTTGGTAGAGCAACAACATGACATTATTGGCAAATCGGGGAGGAGTCACTTTCACAAAGGTATGAATTATGAAGATCCTTAATGACAAAGTCTCAAGACACTGTAAAAGCACATTAATATTTTTGTGGTTGGAAGACCTTCCTTGAAGTACCTGGATTATATTTGGGTGCAGAGGTGGATGATATTCACCAGCTGAAATATCATAACATCATTGACATGAAACCCTCAACTTTCTCCATTCATTGTTTTCCACAGTAAAGTATCTTAACTCAAAATGTGTGCTGCCCAGTATAGAACCTGGCCAGAAACCTGAGCCTGTCCCTCTGGTAAAGAATACATGCACAGGATCAAAACTTGGATGGAAGAGAAGCAATACAAACACTCAGCAAAGTAAGGAGTATATTCTAGTTTGAATTAGAGTGACACAATCATTGAAAGAAATTACTGCCCTAGAAAATCAACTCGCTGTAGCACCATGTGGCAGTGAGAGGGTAATGTCACCATACCACCTCAGAGAGCAATAAAAAAGTTGCATCAGTTCTTGGCAAATGCAGCCTCAGTAGGACGTGCAAAATCTCTGCTATTTTTTTCAGTATTTATACCTCTAACCTCTTGAACATTAGATTTGTCCTAGAGAAACAAAGCCAAATGAAACTAATACCAGGCAACATTTAACGTGCTCTGTGATCCAGCCACAAGTTGCAGGTTCAGATCTGCTATGCAGATCTAAGTTTTCCAGCTGTCATGGCTGACTTGTACCATGTCCCTTGGAACATCTCCCTGCTGAGGAAAGGCTGAGGGAGCTGGGTCTGTTGGGCTTGGAGAAGAGGAAACTGAGGGGCAACCTCATCAATGGTCACAAATACGTTAAGGGAGAGTGTCAGGAGAATGTAGCCAGGCTTTGTTCAGTGATGTCCAGTGATAGGACAAGGGGCAATGGATGCAAACTGGAGAATAGGAGGTTGCATCAGAAAAAAACTTCTTTCCTGTGAGAGTGACAGAGCCCTGGGCCAGGCTACCCAGAGAGGCTGTGGAGTCTCCTTCTCTGGAGACATTCAAACCCCCCTGGCCACGTTCCTGTGTGATGTGCTCTGGGTGACCCTGCTCTGGCAGGGGGGTTGGGCTGGGGGATCTTCTGAGGTCACTTCCAACCCCTAGCATTCTGTGATTCCCCCAATTCTTTTCTCACATCTCAGAAGGTTTTCCCTTTTTTGTAAGTTAAATAAATAAAAAGAAATTCAGAAATACATGCAAGTACTGTTAGTTTTGCTCTGGGAACCTCTGTGGTTTTTATTTTCTAGAACACGTGCATTAGGGAAACACTATAACTGGTGTATTGCTTCACATCCACGTGTACCACAGACCCCAGGAAAGCAAGTTAGCAACAGAGAAGCACTCAACCTTTCATGCTTTTTCCCGATTCTCAAATGTGTTCTTCCCTCAGCCTTAATTTCCCAAGTCTCTTTTCATAAACGTTATTAAGCACCACTCATAGCCCAGGGCCCACCCTGTGCAAGGGCAGAACAAAAAGGTGGTTCCTGCCCCTGGGGCAGCACAACAGCAGCTGGGAGGTGAAGCCCTACAGGGAGCAGGGTATCCTGGGCAGGACAACCACCACAGCCTGCAACACCTTGACATTCACCCCAGCCTGGCATGGCTCACCTGCCTGCTGGCAGCAGGCCAGAGGGCAGCAAGAGCTGGCACAGCATCTCTGGGTGAGGCTGCTCACTAGTGTGCCTGAAGCACTTGGGGAATGGGACACCAGGGCTGTGGACCCAGCACAACCCCTTCCATGGGACTCTGCATCCTCATGTTGAGGAGTTCCCCAGTTACTGGAGTAATCCTCAGGGGCACAGTACAGCATGGTCTTTGTCCTAAAGGAGGGGAATGGGGGGCCTTCCAGCTTATGCAGAGTGAAAATGACTGAGGGCTGGATTCACAGCAGGGTGGTCTGAGTCTGTCCTCAGTAGAAGCAGAGGGCTGGCTGTGCTGGGCAGTCACTGCTGGTGCTGCTGGCTGAATGGGCAGGTATGGATTGAGAAGGGACAGAGCTCTGAGTCAAACTCCCTTGTTACATTTGTGTTGTGTGTGGCTGTGCTGTGTGCTGAGGCATTTGGATTACAGGAGCTATAAGGACTGTAAGAGCTACAAGGAGGTGTGCTGACTGACCCCAGCCAAGGGTCAGGCCCCGTGTGCTGACACGCCCCAAGCCGATTCATCCCCACGCACACAAACACCTGCAGCAGCACAGCACAGGCAGGACGAGTCGGGAGCGTTTTGCCTTCCATCCCACAAAAATCACTCCAAATTTCCTCAGTCCCACCGGCACGAAAGTGCCTGCGGGGACTCCTCGCTCCCTGGTGTTGAACCCCGAGGCATCCCAGGCAGGGATCTCCCCGCTCCCGAACCCCAAGGCATCCCAGGCAGGGATCTCCCCGCTCCCGAACCATCCCAGGCAGGGATCTCCCCGCTCCCGAACCCCAAGGCATCCCAGGCAGGGATCTCCCCGCTCCCGAACCATCCCAGGCAGGGATCTCCCCGCTCCCGAACCCCAAGGCATCCCAGGCAGGGATCTCCCCGCTCCCGAACCATCCCAGGCAGGGATCTCCCCGCTCCCGAACCCCGAAGCGCGGCGGGAGCAGCAGCGGGCGGGGCCGCTCCCGGGGGCGGCCACCAGGGGGCAGCAGAGGCCACCCCGGACACGCGTGGCGCCCCCGCCCGCGGACCCAATGTCGCGACTCGCGGCGCCTGGGGC